AATCAGACACATCATCAGGCTGTGAACGCAGCATTTGCTCGCTCTCCTCAGAACATGCCAGGATCACCAAGGACCAGACTGCCCAGGCCATTGCAAATACAGCAAATGCCTACGAGAAGAACGGTGTGGAAGCTGCTCTGTGTAAGGTGAGACTTCAGGACATAGCCCTTGAATCAGCTGGTTTTGCATCTTTGTGTTAACAAACCTCTGTCTCTCGTGTGCTTGTAATTCTGCAGCCCTGCTGCATTGAGCCAAACCCCTTTCTACTTCACTGTTTGGTTTTGGTTTTTTTCTTTCTTATTCTCTTTCTCCTTTTTCTGCTGCCACAGACAAAGGAGGCAGAACCAGCGAAGGTCCAGCTGAGAGAAACGGCCCTGACAGTACAGTCAGAACAGCAACAGGATGCTAAGGGGACAGAGTCTGCTGCCCAGCCTAGCTCGCAGGTTTCTGAAGTGGAGATCCCCAGAGTGGGGAAGATTCTGGTTAGATCCGATGCAGATGGATATAATGAGGAGGTACAGAGCCCAGTGCAGGAGCTAGTTCTTTTTCCACCATTAATCTTTGCAATGCACTGGTGGGCTGCTTTGGGGCTTTCTGGAGATTTGTGCAAGCGATGGCTTGGGCATGAAGCAGTGTGTAGTTCAAGCATGTTTTTCCCTCTGTCATAAGCAGAGAGGTTGGATCCAGTTGTTTAGCAAAGCACTTTTTAAAACAATTTGAAACGGTGTCAGAAAAGTCACTCTGTAAAAGCAAAACCAACCAGGAGTCCTGTGCGTCTGATGAAGTGTTTTTTACCCACAAAAGCTTATGCTCCAATAAATCTGTTAGCTTTTAAGATGCCACAGGACTTTTCGTTGTTTTTACAGATACAGACTAACACGGCTACCCTCTGAGATCTGTAAAAGCATGCACTCCATCTTCTTACACAATAGATCCATTCCAGTTTTTGATTGTTAAGTCCCCTTCCTTTCCTTCCTATCACTCATATCTAAGCTATTTCTAGGGCACCTAGCTTCACAAGGGGTTTATGCATATTTTTTTCACCCAGTAGTCAATGGATTTGATGCTATATAATCATTTTAGTTGTCAGACGACAATGTCATATAGTCAATGCCGTGTGACTTTTCCAGTCATAGGTACTGGATCAGCTGCTGGCAATTGAGTCCCATTATGACGTTCAGTATATCACATCAGGCATCTTAAAAATGTTCAGTCTTTTTTCTAAGTACAGTTGCACATCAGCTACACAAATCTCTCTGCGAGAGAATTAATTTGTCCAGACAGTTAGTTTACATGGGAATTGAAAGGGTTTGGTGTGAGTCTAGCATTGTCTTTTTCATAAATCAACATTTATGTTTCGTCTCAAGTGTTTTATCAGTGCAACAGCTCCATCTGTTGAGCTAGATGTGACCTGATTGCATTAAATATACACTTGTGTTGTAACGCTAGCAGAGTAGAATGCTCTTGCTTCAGGCTTGCTCTTCTATGAAATGGTAGTTTTACAAAATACTCCACCAACATGTTTAGTGTGCTCTGTATTTTTGCTTACTTTCACTTTGGGGCAGAGAGCATGCAGGACTAGTTGGGGCGCTATAGTGAAGGGTTCAAGCAGCATGAGTAGTGCATGCATGCGGTGGACATGTAATTATTGTGTGCAATAAAATGAAATTTGTAGCCTAATGGCAGCTCTGGGGTGTACCATCTCCATTCATATCTGGACAATTTTTCCTTACAACTTTACCTTTCTTGAACATTTTTTTCTTTTATCACTACAGCTTTTCTTCTGTTCCTCTCTGTTTTTGTGTGTGGATTTGTTGTTATTCTTGTGGTAGGTGATGCTTAGCCCAGCCATGCAGGGTGTGATCCTGGCTATTGCTAAAGCCCGTCAGACCTTTGACCGGGATGGGTCTGAAGCAGGGCTTGTTAAGGTACCCTTTTATTTTCCTTTTCTTACATCTCTTAATGCACAAGTCTGATGTTTTCACTGCTGTTCCAACATGTTACAAATGTGAGTCGGTTAGTTCTCCCTCTTCCTATGTTCAGCTATGTTATTTTTTTTTCTTTCCCACATTTCTGTTTATCCACTCCATTACTTGTACTGAGAGGGCTCTGTTAAAGAGAAATTGTCAGGCTAAAATCATTGCAGTGTATAAGCATCCTTTCTTGTGTTAAAGATAATGCTCTAAACTGAAAGATTTTCAAAACTCTGATTTGCCTTCCACTGTCACTACTGTTTTACTACTTGCAGTTCTCTCAGTTTAGACAAGTAAAATAAACGTTTCTGTTTCCACTCCATTTCTGGTCCTCACTGCAAGAGTCTGCAGTGTTTAGTTTGCACAGAATGTTTTTGTTTAAAACCACACGTGCACACATTGACTTCTAAGATAATATAGAAATATTTCCAGTAGTCCTGGGTTGGGAAAAGTTTGTTGTTGCTCCCTTTCCAAGCTTGCATTTGGGGGCAGATTTAATCTAATGTCCATTTAAGTGTTAATATTTAATGAAAAAGTTGGGTGTGGGCAGGTATGTAAGTCCGAATTTGGTGAATACTTATGTTGGCATTTACCTTTAGTTACATTAGTCAATGCATTCCTTGAGTCAAGTTAAGCATATGCATTGCCCTCATTTGTTTAAAGCAAAGGATTGAGAGTCAAGAGACCTATGTTCTTGTCTCATCTCTGATCATGACTTGCTGTGGGACCCTGGCCAAATCTCTCCACTTCTCGCTCGCCCCAAGTGCAAAAATGATACTTACTGTCTCATAGGAGCATGTACGGTTTAATTACGTCTGAAAAGCACTTTGGAATCCTTGGGTGGAAGCTGCTTTGTAAGTGCTCAATATAATTATCGCCAGAAAATACAAATTAAATTTTAATCATCACCAGGCCATATGTGGTGTGTAATTAAATTTGGGCCATAAACGTGCACATTTACTGTAGGAATTTCTGTAAAATATGTCCTCCTAAGCTTATGCAATGGGAAGAGAGACTTGAAAGAGGAAAATATTCCTGCACAGAGAGCAAGTCATTGCAAGTTCAGGCTAGACTTTGTAGATTAACAGCCAACGTTGAGAAAAAAAAAGACTTAGGAAAATTAACCCAGCTCACCCTCTGATTGGCTTCCAAGTAGTCATAAATTACACCAGTGACTTTATCATTGTAATTGGGAACGACAATCAGAGGTGACTTTTGGTTTACCGTCTGTCATGTATTACGTCTCAGAATAACATTTTGCCCGTTATATTCTTGTTCCTCTCCTATTTTAACAAAGATTTGAGATGTCCATGAAGAGTTCCTTAAAATGAGCCACTGGCAGTGAGATATCTGACAGTGCCTAAGGGAGTTAGACGCCCAACCCCACTGAAAGTCAGTGGAGCTGGTGCCTGCCTCTCTTGGGTTCCTTTATAAAGGTGATGGGTTTTGCTCAAGGCATTGACTGATGTGACAGCCTTGTCCTTATGTAGTAGGGATGGCATACCAGTTGCATGGAACTGTGTTCTGAGTTGGGACAGAAAATCCTCTAAGATGTCTGGTTAGTCTGTTGTGCTCACATGCTGAGGGTCATATTGATCACTTGATTTGGGGGGAAATTCTTTTCCGACCCCAACCGCTGTGACAGGGACCTTGGGGGATGTTTTACTTTTTTGTTGCATTATGGGACATGGTTTGCCTGCTGCGGTCACCTGATCAAATCTCATCTAGTCAGTTCCCTGCCATCAGAGGGATCTGGGGCGTTGGTGGCACCTCAGTCTCTCCTGTTCTTTGCCCAAGGCACACAACAGTGTAGTCTTCTGAGCACTAAATTCATTAGTTCAGGGGTGGCCAACCTGCGGCTTGTGAGCTGCATGCACTCTTCCCCCCTTAAAGTGCGGCTTGTGAAGCCACTCCTGTGCCCCAAGAAATAGTCCCTAGCCCCCGGCTTCCTGTGCTCATCAGGGAGCCGTCTGGTGCGGTGATTAAAAATGGCGCTGCCAAGATGGCAGGGGCTGACGGAAACCTGATGTGGCCAAAAAGCCTTTGTCTTTTTTTTTTTCTCAATAACTCGGGGTGGGGAGGGTGCGGGCTGTGCAGAGAGCTCTTCCTTTTTTTCTCTCTCAACAAAAATTGCTCAAAAAAAATTCTTGTGTGGGTCTATGCATTTTTTCCGCCACTGTTTTTGGCTCTCTTTGTTTAATGGGTTGGCCACCCCTGCATTTGTTTAACTGACTGCTGGGCTCTGCATATGTCTGGAGGATGTATAATGGCATATCACATACAGGGCGTCTCACTGGAAGATCTAATGTTCCCTTCTGACCTTAAACTCTAGGAACTGTGTGCCCAATGGAATATACCCTAAACAATTGCTAGCTAGTGTAAGTAGCAGTAAGGCTTCTCTGCACAGAATCCTGCCAAGTTATTGGGTAGGCATAGCCTTGTAATCAGCCTTCTCACTGCAGGTTTAAATTTCAGTGTGCAGCAATAATAAAGAACGGGCATTTAGCATTTGCTTCACATTGCTAGGCATTCCGTGAAGAATACTCCCGACTGTATCTGCTAGCTAAAGAGACCCCCACACCTCACAGTGATCCTCGGCTGCAGCATGTGCTCATCTACTTCTTGCAGAACAATGCTCCCAAACAGGTAGTGGAGCGGACCCTCCTGGAGCAGTTTGCAGATAAAAACCTCAGCTATGATGAAAGGTACGTTCCAGAGGGTCTGATATAACGACTTGCTGATCTGGGATTCTGTAGTCTCATCATTCTCCAATTTCTCTGTCTGTTTCCCTGAGCAGGTCAATTAGCATTATGCAAGTAGCACGCGCGAAGCTGAAGGAGATTGGTCCCGATGATTTGAACATGGAGGAATATAAGGTGAGGGACTAGACCTTCTTCCTTTCTCTCTAATGCCTTTGTGTTGGAGGTGTCTCAAAGCAGTGAGCAAGATATTGGCAGGGCACTGGCTGTGCAAACACAGCAACCATTACACACCAGTGGGCCTCTGCTGTATGCTCAGAAGCATTAGGAGCTGTTTCCTGGGAAGTGCTGATCAGGACAACAGGGGTTTCTATTTAGCTCTACTCTTTTCAAAAGGTGCTGTGGGATACTGTGTGTGAGCAGAATGGGATCTGTGTAGCTAACCTCTTCCCCCGTATCCCCCAACAAAGCACCAACTGCAGGAGGGGGATGTGGTTGGTGATTCACGCTTTTTCTAGAGGATGCATTCGGCACGCTCAGTTTGGAGTTAAACATTGTCTGAGATCATCTGTCCTGCCGTGTTCTGGAGCTTTATGGGGAAACAGAGAGGATGAGCATGTTGGGATCCTGTTCCATGTTCCATGTCAGAGCTCTCCCTGCCAAAGGCTGAATGAGCTAAAACATCAGGTTTTGGGGGTGTATGTTGGGGGAGGGGTGTCCCAGACACTCATGCACATGAAAGCTTACAGTTGATTAGCCTGTAATATTTCCTGTTCCCCCCCAAACAGAAATGGCATGAAGACTACAGTTTGTTTCGCAAGGTGTCTGTTTATCTGCTGACCGGATTGGAACTCTACCAGAATAGAAAGTAGGCTTAATTGAATTACTTTTACATTTTGGATGAATCCGTGAGGTAACTGATACCTTAAAAGCACGTGTTCCTCTTCCTATTGCAACTTAGGGCCCTTTGTGCTTTGTTGCCGACCTGCCCGTGCCCCTTGCTGTAAAGGCTCAGAACTGACCTTGAGCCAGAGTGTAACTGTTGTGCTGAGTCAGGAGATGGTTTTATGCCATGGCCTCTTACAGTCCCCAGTGTGTTTTCCTTAAGCAGAACTTTGCATTCTGGTCCTTGGAGAGGATTTAGTGCGTTAGCTGCCATTACTGCTTGGCTCTTCGCAAAGTGGGATGAAAATAAAACTCTTGTGTTTGAAAACCATTTTTCTCATACCCTGGAATATTGATGTGCTCACTGGGACATTGAACTGAAAAGTTGGGCTTTCCGCTCTCCCACCCCACATACTGTGACCAGACAGCTGTATGGAGAAGGAGAATTCCCATCCCCAGAGGATGTCAGAATTCGGTTTGTTCCAATTTGGAATGCAAATTGCAAGTTTTGGAATTCTCAGCAAATGGAATGAGCCCTGGCTCTAGGAGATCTTGCTTGGCAGGCCCCCCTGGAGCCATGGATGCTGGCAGCCCTGGGGTCCCCAACTCCAAGGCAGTCCAGCAGGCTGATAAGTTGGCAGGAAATTAGGCAGGTCAGGGAGTTCTCCATCAGAGCTTGGTTGTTCAGCTTCAGTCTCACAGAATGTTTAGATCATAGGTTCCCAAACTGGGGGGTGCATGAAGAAATTCCGGGGGGGGGAGGTGATCCCACCCTGCTCCCCGTCAATTCCCCTCCAAAAAAGAGCCTGGCCACCCCCACCCCGGTCACTCCCTCCCCCAGAAAGAGCCCAGTCCGTCCAGTAAAAAATTTCAGAAAATACCATGTGATATGTCCAGTATTTTCTGTTCTTCCTGGCTCAGGCATCCACCGGAACACACATAGCACGGGCTGGCTGGGGCGGGGGGAGGATGGCGCATCCTGGGCAGATTTCAAAATGGCCACCTTAAAAGGGCAACTTTTGAGGGGTGGGGGGGGGCAAAAACTTTTCCCAGGGAATACCAGCACCTTTTTTTTTTACTCTGGTCCTGGGAATTAAAGGGCCCACGACTGTTTTTTGGCCCTAGTCAGTTCCTTTTTGTGATATGTCCAGTATTTTCTGTTCTTCCTGGCTCAGGCATCCACCGGAACACACATAGCACGGGCTGGCTGGGGCGGGGGGAGGATGGCGCATCCTGGGCAGATTTCAAAATGGCCACCTTAAAAGGGCAACTTTTGAGGGGTGGGGGGGGGGTCAACAACTTTTCCCAGGGAATACCAGCACCTTTTTTTTTTACTCTGGTCCTGAGAATTAAAGGGCCCACGACTGTTTTTTGGCCCTAGTCAGTTCCTTTTTTTTTTTTCTCAACGAGTTCTGCTGCTATTTTGGGGGGGGGGGCATGAGGGTTTCTCAAAAATCAAAAAGGGGGCGTGATGCTGAAAAGTTTAGGAAGCACTGGATTTAGATGAACTCGCAAGTTCTGATGAAAACGTATTTCATCAGAATTTTGTCATCCAGCTTGAAATAAAACCCTGGAGTCTATAAAGAAAAATACTGTCCTCCAAACTTGTAAGAGTGTCTTTCATCTCCAATTTCCTGTTCAAACCAGGAGAAATCTAGTCTAAAGTCTAAATACAGGAGTTGAAACCAGACTGTCTGTTTCCCTGGGGCATAAGGAATGCAACCCTGTCTAGCATTGGGGATGCTCTTGAGAGGACGGATGAATGAAAAACAGAAAGGGGAGCAAATAACACGGTCTCAGCTGGGGCAGGGGCCGAGGGATCTGGTGTGTGTGAACAGCTTGACTATAGCTTTTGGAATGTGTGTTACCTGGTGTGATGGTCCCCAACACTCTTCTCCTTCTTCAAGGTATCAGGAAGCACTGAGCTACCTGGTGTATGCCTACCAAAGCAATGCTGCCCTGCTGATGAAAGGACCCAACAGAGGGGTGGATAAATCACTGACTGCTTTGTACAGAAGGAAATGCCTCTTGGTTTGTATCTTTGCCTCAACTGAAAGTGAACAGTCTCGGTGGCAGACTAGTCAGCCTTAAATATTCAGCCCTTCGAGCTCACGATTTCCGTTCACATGTGCACACTGTGTCTTTTCTCCAGGTTGCTCAAAGGCTAAATGCATCACGCACCTCCTTATAGACACCGTACGAGGGCTTGTTGTTAAACGGCCTTTTAGAGAAGGGATAGATGCTTTGGATTTCCAGCCATTTGCTTTTCACAAAGGGTAATATCTCTTCTTCCTTCCCTGGGGGGAGCCAGCATTGCCTCTTCCTTTGTAACCAGTGTGAGTCTTTTGCTGGGCATTGGGGGATGCGACTCGCCTTAGGAAAGGAATAAGCAGCAGTGGACTGAGACTTATTTTTAGTTTGTGCTTCATTGTGGCTGCTGCTGAGGCCAACGTAATTATATCTAAGGCACCTATTATCATGGCATCTGCTCCTCCTGCCAGCACTCGACAGAAAATCTAGGAAGCAAAATTCAGGGAAGTGATTGAGTTTGGATCTCAGGGAATCCATTTGGGGTTCCTCGAGCTGTGTCTTAGCATCTCCAATACAAAGATGTTTGTTTACTTTAGAGAGAATTTTGGAGCAATTTATTCTCTCTCACCTAATCCATCGAAGGTGGCAGTCCCCTAACTGTGGCGTGTGCCCACATTCGGGGGAGAGGGGACAGCGGCAGGCGCTGGGCCAGTCCCACAGAGGAGTGGGAAGGGGGCATCACCCAGCCCTGCTCTGCCCCAGCTGCATTCCAGCCTTGCCCCCAGCTGCAGTGCTTTCTGCAGTACTGTGGTGTCATGCTCAGCCACGGCCCCAGCTGCGGCTCTGCTCCCCACCACAGCCCCGGTGCTGGCCCCTCTTCTAGCCTGGACTCAGGGGAGAGGGGCGACCAAAACAGTTTGGGGGTCGCTGTTCAAAGGGTTACATGTCCTTGGTGCATACATGCAGCGCCCATTATTCTCAGGTGGAGGAGTCATGGGTCATGTGCAACTTTCCCAGGAGCCTGTTCATTCTCCGAATTCGGAGCTTTCTTTTCCAAATCTCTACGACCCCTAATTCTCCCACAGAAGCTGAATGACATGGCAGCGGCCCAGTTTGTGAGCAGCGCCGAGGCAGATGTGCTGGAGGGCGTTAACATCCTGAATGAGCTGATCATCCCCTGCATGCACCTCATTATCAATAATGACATCTCCCAGGATGACCTGGATGCCATTGAGGTCATGAGGAACCGCTGGTGCTCTTATCTCGGACAGGAAGACATGGATGGTAGGAAATTGCCGAGCGGCTTGCTTCCTTTAAAATGTTGAGTGGTCAGGATGTTCTACTGGTCTAAACTGGAAAAGGATTTATTGCCCATTTCAAATCCTCCTGAAGAGTCTTAAGATTTGCCCTGGATATGTACCATGTGCCTGCCTTGGCAATTAGACTGGCACCAAAAAAAGTGTGCTCATATTTAGAGTGAATTGTGTTATGGAACAATTTGATTGTCCTTCGGCCACAGAAAACAGATTCTTGACCATTGAAGTGTAAGAAGTAAATGATTTTAAAATGTGAAATAGGTAACTTGATTTCATCTGTCCTTTAGGATTAGCACTGAAAGCTACATTTCAGCCAGTGCGATTGCGCTGACACACTAACTGTGTTTGTTCTGCATTTCCTTTCATGGGCCAGAGTTACGCTGCCACGACTCCTTTCGGCCTAGGGAAGAGAACAGGCTTGAGAGTCTTAACACTGCTCATTTTAACCAGCAGAGGGTAAACTTGCTGCAGGAGAATGAGGTAGAAATATGAAGGATTGTTCCTCAAATGCTGCTGCAAAATAGAAAGCTGGAGAAATTTACAAATTTGATCTTCTTATAAACTCCTCCATTTAAAGGACACCTAAATGAGAGATTTGAAAGGGGCAGGCAGAATGCAGCAGTTTCCATCTCTCCTTGTGTTGTGGGGGCCGAGTCTATTGTCACTGCCCTGTTTAGTCATGTTGTATGTAAAACGGTTTGTGTAGTAGACTAATTCAGTTGATTTTTCATCTGTCAGAAGAGGAAAATGGAGAACTGTGCCCTTTTATATTTGCTCTTCTGTTGGGGCTACAGTACTGCATCTCTCTCAGAGAAAGGGGTGTCTGCTTTTGCATTTTCAGAGGGTAACAAGGTTAAATTAATGGAGATTGCCTATCTCCTAGAACTGGAAGGGACCTTGAAAGGTCATTGAGTCCAGTCCCCTGCCTTCACAGCAGGACCAAGTACCATCCCTGACAAATTTTTGCCCCAAATCACCTTCTCAAGGATTGAACTCACAACCCTGGGTTTAGCAAGCCAATGCTCAAACCACTGAGCTGTCCCTCCCCGTGAGGTTGACTTGTTTGATGTTGGGCTTTGCTGGACCAGCACTTGAAAGGTGATCATTTGTGAAAGACTAAATAATGCCTGGCCCATTCTAGATATAGTGCAAATGCAGGCTTGTAAGATGGGGAGTGACTGAGTGGTAGCACTCTGAGGGTTAGAGAATTAGGTTTGGAGTGACTGTGTCAAGTGGCCTGGATTAAGAAAAGCCAGATTGGTAGTTGCACTAGTAACATACTCCAGATATATTGCTAGTAACTTCACATCACTGGTTTGCCAAGCAGCTAGATTGTAGACTGTACATGTGTGCAAGACAGGGGCAGGGAGTGAGCTTGGTTTGTTTTTCTTTTCTCCCTTACCCCCCTTTTGAAACATATGGTATTGGTTCCGGAGAGAAACAAGATACAGGATTTATATAGACCAGTGGTCTGGGCTGGGTTGACATTGTCTCTCCTCCATTAAACAGTACACATCACTGTGCGCCCAGGGTGAGCCGGGTTAGAGTGTGGTAGATAATCACATAAAAAGCATAGTGGGGTTTTGGGTTCTGACACTAAAACCGGCTGTGTTTGGCCTTTTTTGGTAACTTCCTGTTTCAGTGCATTTGACTCTTGCATCCTCCTCCACAGCGAACCTGCAAATGAAGTTGGGCGAACTGCTCCCCAGGCTCCTGGACTGCTCTGCAGAGGTCATCGTTCTAAAAGAACCCCCGAAGATCCGGCCCAACTCCCCCTATGACCTCTGCAGCCGCTTCGCAGCCGTGATGGAGTCTATTCACGGGGCCTCGCCTGTGACTGTCAAATAAACATCCAACTTTCCGGCCCTAGATGTGACACGTAGTAATCCACCTGTCGGTATAATGCCCTGTGTCAGACCACATTTGAATGCAAGAGGGAGAATAGGCAGATAAAGATGTTTCATACCCAGATGCAAGCCATGGGTGTTGATCCAAAGGAATGCAAAGCAGTATTGCACTTTTAAGAAATAATTGTCAATTATGCAAAGGACAGGAATCACGGTAGCAAGATGGCACAGCATATGGCTGGTGGTAACAGCTGCTTCTCATCCCCACAACAAAAAAAAGGGGTTGTGTCTTCGTTTCTTGCCACTTTCAAAAAATGTCCCTTAGGCGCAGATACTTGGGATGGTCACAACGGCCGAACAGGAGAATGGTTCATTGACAAATAAGTGACACTTCTTAGCTTTATTTCCAGAAAGTATGTCCTCGCCTTTCTAAATTCTTAACTGAAAGAACTTATCCATTCAGATCTTGCCAAAGTACTGCTGGCAGGAATTGATTTGGGAGACTGAGAGACAGTGAGGATTGATGGAGCACAGTGTGTATAAGACAGGCAGTCATGCATGCAGCTGCATATTTTACTTGAGTGAAGTCAAACAGGAAGTAAAGGTGTCTCTCGTCTTTTTACCTGTCAAACAAATATGCAGGGCTCTTTTTGTGACAGACAAGCAAATACTGACATATGATGGAACCTAATTTTAAAAGATTGTCTTCTGCACCGTATCACTGTGATGATAATTACTAACTAGCTAAAGGAAATAAAAGCCCCAAAGGGAATTCCTCTCTCAGATCTGAAAATACTTCCTTCTCCACCAAGGTTATTGGTGAAAAAATTGAGCAGTGGACAATAACGTTAAAGCGTGTATATTTGTAATTTTTTTTGTAAAAATTTACTGGGGGAGTGAGGGACAGAACCACAGCGGAACACTTTTTAAGGGCAGCCTATGTTTTATTTGAATGACAAAATTGTTGAAACCAAAATGCTCTGAATAAATGGGGGAAAGAATTCCTATTTGATAGGACTATGCAGGTTTTATAAATGTGCAATAAAACCATTTGTTCTATTTTAGATGTGAAATAGCTCCCTCTCTGGTTTTTTTCCTTTGCCGTCAAGTTTTACAACACTTCTGTGCCTTGGAATGAACAGAAGAAATGAGAACATTGGCCCACAAGATCATTTTAATCTTTCGTAAATTACAAAGGTTGAACCTACAAGATAGCTTTGAGGCCGGCCTGCCAAACCGGTGCTAGTTCCTCAGTGAAGAAAGAATGACATCTAGTGGCAGAGGGTTCTATGCTTTGTTTGTGTATGGTGGGTGGTTTGCTTTTTTTTTTTTTTTTTTTGCGGGGCTGTGTGCTGGGGATTTTGTGTCTGTGTATTTAAAGCAAATGGTCCTGTTTGGTTTCTTTAGTTGTTAACTAAAGGTAGTACTGTTGATTCAATCCATCAGTCATTGACTTTGCACAAATCTGTCACTAACGACTTGGCAACACTATTGTTTCTAATCACATATTAACATACTCTAAATTGTAGGAAAGATACAGAAAAAATATGGTACTAGTCACGTTCTACCCTGGGGTTAAAAATGGTTAGCAACAAACCTAGGGTTTTAAAACAACCAGCATAAGCACTTATTGTTTTTGCTATAGTTGTCAGTGCATCAGAGTCTCTTGCGTCCTAATGTAAGTTAAAGAAGGGTGAAGCTAGCTGTAATTTTTTAGTAGCTTTGCGTTGCTGCTTTGAATTTTTCTCCTGGCTTGTTTTGTGTCTGTGTGTGTGTGTTTGTTTTTAGTTTCAAGATAAATCATATAAATGTAGTTGCACATTCCCTTTACTCTGGATTAGCTTTTCAATTGGAGACAAATTTCTTGAATCCTTCCTTGGGGCTGTATCCTTTGTCCTGTCAGACATCAGCCCATTTCACAAAAATTGAGGCCTAGACAAATGGAGCCACTTGTAGAGAAACTTTCTGTATCCTACTTCTGGGTGAAATTCACCCATGTTGAACGTTGGATTACCTGAAGCTCTTTCACCCACTTGTTCTCCACTGTACGTATTCCAAAGAAGTTGACACACGCTGCTTATTGATGCTACCTGGTTTCTCTTGAAGCCTCCTTCTTAGGACAGGCCACCCAAAACTGATTCCTTTAGAGAGCCCCACTTTGTATTGGAAGTCATTTTGCAGTACATTTTATATATGCAGAATGCCTTCAGGAAGCAGCCATTTCCAAGATTCTGCAGTGAATAATTCAGTTGGATTAAATTAGCAAAGAGGGGGGGAGAAACACTGTAAGATCCTCCAGCCAAACTGTTTATTCATTTGGGACTGAAATCTTTGAGTTTCATATTCAGTTGCTAACATCAATCTACATTATAGCAGAACCATTACCCTTTTTATAGTTAAGCTTCTGTTAGCATTTCCCTAGCAAAACATAGATTTATTCCAACAGTTCAAAACACAGCTGTAAAAATAAAATACCTCCCAGATGGAAACTCGATGGGCAAATTGAAGATAGACGTTTATAGGCCCAGGTTAAGAGTGCAAGGAGTGAAGGGCCTTTGATATTTCAACTTCCTGGCCTTATTTGTGTTTTTTATATTGTCCTACAGGGCTTGCTTTTGCAAGGTGGGCTGGTAGTGACTCTCTCATAGCCTGGCTATTACTCTATCATCATCTAGTTCCAAATCACTCCCGAAATCTGTTTTTGGTAGTTTCAAGTCTGGCGTGTTATGGGAGGAGCATAGTGTCTGAACTATCGCTAACTCTTTGTCTCCCCTGTCCTCCAAGTATCCATCTATTTTGCCACACAGGTAATTTCTCGTCATGTCTTTACTCCGTGACTCTGATAACAATATTTGCCATTCACCACCACTGTGGACTCTCTCTTATCCCTTGTACAATGTTGGGAGTCTCGTAGAAGATGTGTCATTTTAAAGACCCCGTCTGTACAATAACCATACAAGTCATTGCCCTGCAGAAAGCTATTGCGACCAAATAGGATTTCCCCCATTCGCATCCTCGTGTATAGAATGTCGCTCTTTGTATACTCATGGGGATATTTCCCTGCCCCATTAAACTACTGCCAAAAATATAATAACCAACAGATCTCCAACCGCCACACAGCAAACATCAGATATTAGGAAATTAAAGGACCTGTTTATTATAACACATATATGCTTGAAGAGCCCAAGCTAGTGCCCAGGGAATTTCATGGAAATCCTCCCATTGACATTGGATCAAGCTTTAAAGCCACAAACACAAACAAGCTTTAAAGCCACAAGCTTTTAGCCCACGGAAGCTAAAAAATCTGGACTGTCACCACAATTCTGTACTCTCACTTTTCTCTTCCCATTATTCTCCGTGTTGATTTCCCAGGGGTGCAGATGACAGTAGCACCCGACATCCGAGAGTCTCCTTTGCCTTTGTCGTTTTGGCAGGTCCCTGGAAAGCAGCGAACCGTGTGTGTGAATCTTTGAAAAGCACATTCCACCAGGCAAGCATGTCCTCCTGGCCCGCTGCATTTTGCATCTCTTCATCCTTATTACAGAAACAAGACTCTCCGCTGCTGCTCATACAGCCCCTGAATTGTCTGTTGTCAATTTCCACGGCAACCATCCCTGTTGCCACAAATGCAGAGTTTTGACTGGGTGTGGGGCAGCAGGGAGGGAAAGGGGGTTGCTTTTGGGAGGCAAAGTCAGTGGCAGAAGCAATCCTGGTTCTGTGCAAACTCAACCGACAACGGCAAGCAGCAGAATTGGCTGAAGCAGAATGTCCGTCAGCATTTTCGGTGGGTTCCTTTCAGTTCTTTTTAACATGAGGTTTAAGGTTCTAATATGTACACACTTGGGACCTGGTCCAATCCTGTTAGAGTTCTTCTGTGGATGTGGATTAAGCTGTGAGTGTGAGACTGCATCCCCAATTATCCATGCAAGCAAAATTCCCATTCATTAAAGAAATACTGCATCATTTCAAGGAGGTGGAGGGAGGGTAGATTATTCAGAAAGATCAGGCTTCCTCAATATCATTCTTTGGCCTGTCTGCAATGTTTCTAAAATGTCCGGGGTTCAGCCAGGCTAGGAAAATCTCTGCGAATAACCTTGCTCTATGCATAATGGTATCTCCACTGGGACAAAGAGAAGATTACAAAAACAAACTTTTAAAGCCAAAAGTGAACTTCTTTGTTTCTCCAAAGAATTCTGGTTTTGGATGGGAGCTTTCTTGCTTTGATCTCATTGTCACAGACCTTATCTTAAGCAAAGGTTTTAAAAAGAACGAAACAGAGTTGTTGAATAGTTCTGTAGCATCACATTTACTCCTGATCAGGCTAAAACAAGTATTTAACAGCTTTATTCCATATAACTCTTTGTAGTACCAGTAAGCGCATACAAATGCGTGTGTGTGTGTGTGTGTGTGTGTGCGCGCGCGTGCCAAATGAAAATTTAGAAGATCTTCAGAGGAACAGTTCAAATAAAATTGTTATACACAAGTGATCTAAAAAAGAATTAAAATGGATAGTTTTCTAATTGTGGATCTGATATTTTTATGATTTCACTGAGTAGTAAATATATGGGTGAAATCTGCCACTGACTTCACATCTTTCATAGACATGGAAAATTGATTTTTGGTATAAACTGGCTTTCTATAAGAAATTTTTTGCTAGATGAACAAAAAGATGCCACTTTACTGCAGCATTGCTCTGTAGCTAAAATCTTGCTAAAATCTTCTCCTTTTATGCTGTTCAGGATGCAGTTACTTTTTGAGAGCACAGAAACATGTTGCCATAAAATTGAATAACTTGTGGTGGAATTCATTCCTATGAATAGATGTAACTTACCTCTTCCTTCTCTCCCCCCCCCGCCCTCACCTTTTTCTCCCTACAATGGACATTGAAGGATCAAGAACTATCAGAACTGTGTACAAATGTTACTTTCATATCAGAAATGTTCAAAGATGCTCAAATAGAATAATCAATAAAATGCTGCATTTAAATTGTCACTAGAGATATGAAGTGCTCGTTAGTTTTCTGTGTTCACCTTGTTGATTCGGTAGTTCAAGGCTCAGTCTGCAAGGGTCAAAGGAAAAGCGGTTGCTCTTTAAAAGTTTCAAACACACAGGAGGAGAAGACCAATTGCAAGACTTAATCATTCCTTATGCACAAAAAAGTAGCTAATAATTATGAGAACTGCCTCAAAATCTGAACAATTAGAGAGCTGTAGAGAATCCTGTGCTGAAAGTCTTAAATTACCAGATCTGCATTTTTGGGGTGCGAGTGTTGCCTCCCGTGTCGCGTTGCTACTGGATCTTGCAGCGTTGGTTCGTGGCAAGCTGCTAAGGGCATTGATGGCATTTCCGTCCCTTTCACACAACTTGAGGCGATGAGGAGCAGCCCACCTACTACCAGGAAAAATCCAGCAAACCAGCCCAAGAACATTGCTTCCCCAAATTCCCATCTAGGTACAATTTCTGAGACGGTTTCATCCCAGAATTCATTCACAGTGGTATAAGCGACCCAGGAAACTGGAACGAGGGTCATAATTCCTGAGATGCCAAAAATCACTCCTCCGCAAAGCGCTAGCTGTTTCTTTAGAGAGGTTTTTTCTTCCCATGCCTTGCAACAGTCCAGCCCACAACTGGAAATCAAAACTCCAAGAAGTCCCGATCCATTAGAGAAGGACATCAAAATCCTGGACACCCGCAGGTCCAAGGGCAGAGCCAAGAACGACTCGTAGCTTTTACACTCCATAATCCCTTCCTCTTGCATTACGCAGACTTGCCAGAGCCCCATGGTCCAGATCTCCATTTCATTCAAGTCCAGGTTGAGGTTCTTCCAGAGCGGCACGAAAGTTGTAACGCAGGATGAGACCCATCCAAAGAATGAGAGAAATATGCTTCCCAGTTGAACCTTCGTGTTACAGCTCCAAGCCATGCTGAGGCCGTGTGAGTGAGCTGTGTGCCGGTCAAGATGAGTTTGGGTGTTTGAGCAGAAGCTTTTGGTATTAACTCTTTTGAAGCTGTGCTACAGAGTTGATTTCCATGAGTATGCTGTTTCAGTTGGCGGGCTATTGACTGAGCGCTGTTATTTGTTTCTAGCTTTCAGAGGAGCAGCGTGGGGGAAATTTAAGCTTATACCACTAATTCCTGGGTGTGGCCACAATTATTTTCATGTTTTGTTGGTTTTACTGGATTAAAAAAAAAGGAGAAAGGATTCTGGCAGGAGTGCTTTCCAGCAGGCCAGCCAATTCAGTGCTGTACGGCAAGGCATCAAATGATCAGCCACTACTGCCGTATGTGAGCTCACGTGAAAACAGCAGCTATGTGACTCTGTAACTACTGCAGCATGGGTTTCAAGCAAAACACACTAACCTAGCCCAGCCCACCTCAGCCCTCTTGGGCAGGTTCAGCTGCTAAAAGCAGGCTGTGAGTGAGGGTCTGTTAATAACTGCAGCTGAGTTTCCATCCCGCAAGTAGGCGTCCACGGTGCATTCAGCACCTGAAGGATGGACTTTGCAGTATTTGGATCAAGTCTGGTCTTGGATCTGGTTGTCTCTCCAGTCATTTGGTGCTCCTCACTTGGGGGTCATCCAGCATGCTGGCCAGGCTTGTACGGTTAAAGCCAGTACTAGGAGCAATAAAGGCCTTCTGTTGACTTTTCTGCCTGTCCGGGTGATCCTGGCATGAACCAAATGCTCCAGGAGCCCCGTGTGAGAGCTGGTGGAGTAAAGCACCCAGGTGCATTTCAGCATTGAACATGAGAGAGAGAAGCAGCATCAAGATGGTCATGGGGAGATGGAGGCGGAGGAATCGGTTCTGTGCTGGTGGAAGAGCAGAATTGGTGCAGCTGGATTGGTTTCAGGTTAGGGATGTTAAATATCGGTTAATTGAATAGTCGATTAACCTCATGATTTCTTATTGGTTACTCAACTATTCTATAGTCCCTAGAGGTGGGGCCAGAAGCCAGTGTGCTCTGGGTCACTCCCGAGGAGCCCCCTGCCACTCTGCACTGCTGCCTCTGTATCAGACCGTGGGGGGCCAGCTTAAAAACCAGCTCCCCACGTGGACTGTTTGCCTGTCGCCCCGCGCTGCTGCCTCTGATACAGAGGCAGCAAATTGGGATGGCAGCAGCCCCTTTTCCAGGGGTGGGCTCTGAGCTCCTGGACCCAGTGCGAGATGGAACTGAGCCGGGCTGCCTGCCCGCCTGGCTCCTGACACACTTCAAATGCAGAGTAGTAGGGGTAGGTCCCGGACCCGGCGCAAGCTGGAACTGAGCCAAGCTGCTGGTCAGCCTGCTGGAAAATGTGGGGGGGCGGGGGGCGTGTCGTCTATGGCATTCACCGATACGCTTTTGCTTATCGGTTCATCGACTCCACTATGACGTCCCCAGTTTGCAGGGTGTTACCCCTAAAACCGTTTCAGTGGGAAGAGGAGGGCGTGGCACTCGGCCAAGGCTGTCACAAGGCAACCCAAACCGCTGCTGTCTGGCAGCAAGTCCCGGAGAGTCCCGGCCCCCAAGAGGATTAAGAAAAGGCTGATTAACCCCGCCCCTGCCAGGCTTCAGATACACTGCAGGGAGAGGCTTGGCAGAGCAAGTGCCTCTGGCGACATGGCCGCTCCAAGAGTTTCTGGGACGGGGGGGGGGTGAGACGAACCCTTGAACAGCCAGAGAAGATGGGGAATACTTGAGCCAGGCCCCTCCCCCTCTCTTAATGATTCCAGCCTGATGAACGACTCTTTATCCCATTCTCAGAGGCTTTTAAAGTGCTGGCTCCTTTTCAATCCGTAAATAAATACCCAAGGAGCGTGGAGTGGCACAGGGAGAAATCAGAGGTGGGCAGGCCTTTCTGAGAAACCCCTTTGCCTGCATCTCCCGGGACTCGCTCGGCAGGCAGGGGAAACGCTACCTGTTTGCGCAGGGCGGGGGCTGGGAAGGCTGCCGTCTGGACAGCGCTTCCATAATACGCGGAGTGACCGCAGTCAGCTCAACTCGCCCTTTCCCTTCCCAGAGCTGGAGGCCTTTTACAAACGCTGGTGAATTACAACTTGCAAGCTGCACGAGGGGGAACCAGGGAGCGCGTTCTGGGATCTGATGCCAGGGTGGTGGGCCTGATGCAAGAACCTGAAAGGAACAGCTGGCTGTGTTACAGGGTGGGGGCAGAGCAAAGCAAACTCACTTGCCCCAGGTTCCACCCTCTGTCAATGACAAGAGTTGGAACGGGCCTTGACTCCCGGTCCTGCTGCTTTAACCACTGGGGAAACCTCCTTTGGTACATATCCTTGAAAACCATTGTCTGAATTCACCTCACCAACTGCTGACGTTTGTAACCCGACAGCCCCAGGGGGAGGGAGCCCAGGGTCAGCGATCAGTTACGCTGAATGGGAACCGGTTCCCAATCATAAAACTATATCTGGTTTGTTTTGCATGATTCTATTATTGAGTCAGGCCCATTGACCCACCAGCTCCTCCATCCCCCACCCAGGAATGATTCCAGCCTGAGGAACGACTGGTTACCAGTTGCTTCCAAGGAAGGCAAAACTTGTGTCCCGTTGATGACCATCTTCATCTTGCCTCTCGCTGGTGAGTAGCTTCTGGCTTAAGTCAGTGCCCAAGGAGATGGTGAAATCCATTCTCGCCCCTCCTCCAGATGTTGCAGATTCCATCCTGAACCCAGAAACTCGTAGCCAGGCCTTGTTCTTATAGTCCCACCGGACAGCAGCAAATGTCAACCCTTCTAGAAGGGGAGCCCCCGAAGTTGAACCCCTTCCCAACCTTCTTTCTCAATGGGCTCTTAGTGCAACTGCCTCTTTGGCCTTGGAGCCTGATGGCACGCCACAGCCTCAGAAAAGGTTTTGCAACCTTGGATCCTCAGGAAAACCTCATGAGCTGGTCCGTGCTGTTATCCCCATTTAAGGGACAGAGCGACCAAGACCCAGATTGGTGCAAATCTATCCTAGGAATTGGTGGCAGAACTGGGAATAGAATTTAGGAACTCCTGGGTATGGGTCCTGTTTTGCAGCTGAAATAAAACACTCTGTTGTTGTTGTTTTTTAAAAAGACGGAATACGTCATATGGAAGGTCTTAAGTTTCTGTTTACAGTTCATTCCCCGTCTGTTCCTCTGTGCACTGATACACCAAGGGAACACAATGTCCAGCTTTTAGAATTTTGTCTTTATTGGGGGATTAGCGACTCTAATCTCTCACTCATCTGCCTCCTTTGTTATCGAGAGGGATATTAAAGGGCAAGACTTAAAATTACTGTCTCCCTTGCCATGGCGGTGGTGGTGGTGATGCTGCAGCCATTCGACACCACTTGCAGGGCTGGGCTCAGGGCATCTCCACTTTGGATTTTCAGGTGGTGTCCATGTTTCGTGTCTGGGTCCCCCTCCAGCCACCTGTGCTTTTAAATGTGGATGGTGGGAGGGTCAACCCAGCGCTGAAAATCCAGGGGTGGCTGGAATGTACCAAAACTGAAGCTCCAGGACGATTTGGCACAGTGGGTGTATGGAGTTCAGCTCCCAATGTACCTAGTGCCTTGCGCTTTCTGGCCTAAATGGAACCTGAGCCCTTTCTGAAGGTCCGGTCCCAAGTGCTCTTGTTCCTCGGCTGGAACCAGCGGCTGCTATTTGGTAACGTCATCCGGGGAGCTTTGGCATTGGTGCAAGCAGCTGGAAGGGTCCATGCCAACAAGGGTGGGGGTGGACAGGAATGATCCACCCTTCCCAATTGATGTCGAGCCAAGAGAACCTCTTCAGTAATGAACCTTTGGACGCCTGCACTTCTCTTGGGAATAGGGTTGCCAGGTGTCCAATTTTCACCTGGACTTTCTATTATTTGGGTCCCCTATCCGGTAAAAAAATCCCAAAATACTTCCTGTTTCCCTTGAACGGAAGCCTGGCGGGAACCTTTTTTTTTTTTGGTTCAACAACTTTGGTCTCTCCCCCCCCCCCCCCTTTTTTTTTCCTCGACAGAATTTTTTCCCGGTGTTTTTTTGGGGAGGGAGGGGCGGTATTTTTTGTTAAACCATCTGGCAACGCTACTTGGGAAGTATGGCGCACTTGGAAAAAAAGTGTGCGTCAGAACTTGTGTGCGCGCGTCTGAGGCGTTGCTAGCGCCGCGCTTTCGGGCAAACAAGCCGTGTCGTCTCACCCCGTGGGAAGGGTTTCTGTCGCTCTGTTCTCAGTTGTCAGCGCTGCTGCTTCGCTGCTCCCGGGCCAGGTTCCCGCCGGCCTTTGCGGCTGAATGGCGGAGGAGAGCTTGGAGCCTGTGGCACTGAGCTGAGATGCAGTTCTTGTATCCCGGCGCGGGGGGCAGCCAGGTGAGGAGACGCCTCTGGGCATGAAGCTTGTCACTCAGCCAGGCTTGTGAATCAGCACACGGCAGCAACTTCCGGACGGGCACCGCCATTCGACCTGCCCGCCGGTGGGGGCTC